TGTCACTCTAGGACTTCCATTTCTCCTAGCGTCTCTGGTATACCATAGAGTTCACTGTCCAAAGCGACCGTTTTCTGCAGGGGATCAGTTGTAATTCAGAGAAAACTCTAGGCCTCACCTTGAGGTTAGCAACCCTAGAAACACCTTGTGGACAAGGAACAAGCTTCATGGCTTGTCCTGATAGACTGAATGATTATGCTTCTGGCTGCACTTATTTATCTATGTTTATTTACTTAGAAAATGTATCCGCTGCCTCTCCATAGACCTACTTGAGGCAATCTTTTTCCTAAGTACATGTTTACCCTACAATTTCTGAAGACTCAGTCAAAGGCCTACCATCTTCTATATGCAGAAGATGTTTTACCGGAAGCAAAAGAATGAAGTGACCACCTGTGAGGGAACAGCAGAGTGGGAGACGGACAATTCACGGGGCACGGCTAGGGAGATCTGGGGGTGGAGTCTTGAGAAGAAGGGGAGGAGCAAGACATGATGCCATTTTGTTCAGGGGAAGTGAGGGGAACTGACCTCTGCCACCTGAAGATCGGTTGTAATTCTGGGAGATCTCCAGGCCCCAACTGGAGGTTGGCAAGTTTATCCACAGAGAAATTCTCCTGTGCACACACCCCCATTTAAATTGACAGGCATTGTACTGCTCCAGATGGTGCCTCATGTTCAGTCATAGGAAGAGGGATTGTCCTTTGAATTTTATTTTTCCTCCTCGGGCATCCCAATTTCTTGGTCTGGTGCGGTCTGTAAGCTACTCCCACCAAGCTCTCTTCAGCGTCAACAGTGTTAGATCATATCACTCCTTATCCAAGACACAGAGTAACAGCCTTTCTGTGGAGGTGGGAGGACAGCCATATTGTGCTCCCCACCCCCCTTTCCGGCTGCTTCCCCGCCTTGAAATGTCTGTACTAAATGTGCTTTAGACCACAGGACGAGTGGAACACTGAACACACAAAGAATAAACTCAACCAAGTTTCTCAATATGGCAAGGCCTTATGAGAACTAAGGTAACAGTTCCTCCTGTTAAACCAAAATATATGGCTGGCCTTCAGTAAATGTTAGGAATGGAAAGGTAAAACAAAAACAAAAGGAAAAGCTTAAAGGGCTACAAAATGAATACAAGGGAATAAATCACAAGGCATATCCTACTTGAAGCAGTAAACGCCATCAACAGTGTCTAAGGTGTCTTACGTTCCAGGTGTAAAATTCAAAACGTGAGTCCAGGGAGAAAAACTGCACTATCCCCGCAACAGAAGTATAGTCACCATATGCAGACCCAATAACTTAGAAATACATGTACATTTCTTGCACACAACCTGTCTGAGCATGTGAAAAGGCTCTTATCACCATTCAACTGTCAAAATATTTCTGTTCCAGTGAGGAAGGCAGAGATCTTAGAGATGTCTCACAACGCTACTGTTCTTGGGGCCTACCTACACATTAGACACAAGCGTCTGTAGCAAAAGTCTGACGGCGCTTTCTCCTAGAGAAAAGCCACTTCAGGAGGGGTTATTTGGAGAAGAGAAGCTGCTGAAGGAGAGGGAATATGGCCCTTTCCCGATACATCACGACTCTGCTCCAAATCTCTCCCTCAAGCCACTTTCAGATGGAGATTCCATAGAAAACCTCTCAGCTTCACAGTGTTCATGAACAGTTGGATCTAACCAGTATTTTTGCTTTGATGTATAGGATTGCTAACTCCAGGTTGGGAAATTCTTAAGAGATCTGGGAGTGGAATCTGGGGAGAGGAGGGTTTGAGGAGGGGAGGGGACATCAGTGGGGTATAATGCCATACTCTCCAAAGTAGCCATTTTCTCCAGGGGAACCGATCTCTCTTGTCTGGAGTTCCGTTGTAATCTGTGGCAATCTCCAGGCCCTACCTGGAGGCTGGCAACCCAAGCACTGGGGGAAATCACAGAAACTGCAGGGACAAAAGCCTTGTGGGATAGGGGGTATAAAAAGCAGGGCTATTTTGGGGCAGGAATACACAGGAACAGAGTTCCGGCTGGCTCCCAAGTTGGCAAAGCCCAGCAGGAACTCATTAGCATAATAGGCCACACCCAACAGCAGAAACTCATTCGGATTGGCTACAATTAGGGGTGTGTGGCCTAACATGCAAAAAGCCCTGGGTTCTGACAACAAACAAGGTAAAGAGAATAAGAAGCAAAAGGTGGATGTGGCTGGATGACCACACATCTGGTAACATGGGGGTGTGGCCTAATAGTCAAATGAGCTGTGATGTCAGGGTGTGGCCTAATATGCTAATGAGTTCCTGCTGTTGGGTATGGCCTATTATGCTAATGAGTTCCTGCTGGGCTTTTTCTACAAAAAAAGCCCTGATAAAAAGTAAAACTGTTTGAGATGGAGTTTAAAAAGCTGGCTGGATCCAACCCGATAGCTGTCTATTAGGTTGAACGCTGCATCAGACATCCACTTTGCCACTCTCCATTGCTTCATCATGGTGGTTTCCCACCTTCTTATAACTCTCTGGATTAAAGTAAATGTGATTTAGCCACAGAGATATTCAGAAAAGGATGCAGCAATTTACCACATATTCTTGGATTCAAGTGAAACTGCCATAGCTATTGTGGAAAATGCATCTTCTTATGTTGCTTTTTTCTAAAGGTAATACAGTTTTTAAGCAGTGTCCTCCAAACTTAATTGTCTTGTAAGCAGCATTAGTTGGGAAGCTGGCTTTTTAAATTGTTAACTGTATTGTGCGATACAAATGCAATCATGGAAGTGTTATAATAATATTAAAAATGCAGATTTGTGTGAGCAGCACTGGAAATATACTGCATTTATCTTTATTGAGCCATTTTTTTATTTGGGAAAATCAAGTCCAGTGTTGCTGGAGAAATGCATTTCAATCACAAATGGTGGAGGGAGGAAAATGGGAGGGGGGATTCCACAAAAGAAAATGTCACTATTGTCACTATTTAAAAAGAAAACAAAACACTTATTTCATCTCTGAAGCAGAACAGATAAATCAGTGTTTCAATGCCATGTTTTAGAAAAATCGAATTCACTGCCACAGGAGGTGGTGGCGGCTACAAGCATGGACGGCTTCAAGAGGGAGATAAACATATGGAGCAGAAGTCCATAAGTGGCTATTAGCCACAAGGTATAGAAAGGAACTCTCAGTCTGGGGCAAGTGCTCTGTATTCTTGGTGCTGGAGGGGGCAACAGTGGGAGGGCTTCTAGTGTCCTGGCCCCACTGGTGGACCTCCTGATGGCACCTGGTGTTTTTGGCCACTGGATGGGCCATTGGCCTGATCCAACATTAGCTTCTCTTATGTTCTTATGTAATGGGGTATAATCAGAGGTCATTTGGGGGGGGGAACGCTTCCAGCCCTCATTCAGCCAGGAGGAGGCAGGAGAAGAGGGAGGGTAAGTTGCTTCCTCCCCGCCTCTCCCCACCCCTGCCTGCCTGGGGCCAGGGAGGGCCTTGGCGGGGCTTCCTTGCACTCCCGCTGGCCTTGCAGGTCCACCGCCGGGCCCCTGATGTCAGGGGGTGTGGCCTATGCTAATTAGTTATGCTAATGAGTTCCCCTAGCTCTTTTTCTACGAAATGACCCCTGGGTATAATGCCGCAAAGTCCACCTTTCAAAGCAGCCATTTTCTCCAGGGGAACTGGTCTCCATTTCCTGGAGATCAGCTGGAATCCCAGGAAATCTCCAGCTACCATCTGGAGGCTCAAACAGCAGAGATGCATGGAAGGAAGAAAGTAATACAGACGATCAAACTGTGCATAAATAACGAAAAATATATTCGACAATCACTAAGAATGACCATCTAAACCAATATAGAGTAGTTTTTCAAAAATATAATAATTAGAAACTCAAAAGTATACAGTCCAAATACAAAAAAACCCAGTCCTATTAATGCACTTCAGAAATAGTCCAAGTCAAATTCCTCAAACAGTGAAAAGTCCAAATACAGATGTTTCTAATTCTTCTTCACAAAATCCTCGTCTCGCCGCTTCTGTATCCACTTTCCAGTCCCGCCGGCCTCAAGTTGCCTTTTGAGGAAGCAAGGCAACGCAGCCACTTACGGCGACCGACAACGTACAAGGAAGGGGTCCTCATTCAGAATCTTTGATTCTTGGGGAGGGAAGCTGCAGCTCGCATATGATGACCTCCTGGTCACAGCACGATGGGGGTAGCTCAGGAACGCTGGCTGGCACACGTGTAGGCAGTAGAGCAACCGTATCCACTGCCCAAAAACATTGTCCAGTTCTGGAGGACGCACCAGAAGCTGCAGGTAGAACAGGCGGCCGCTAGCCAGCCTAACTTTTAACTGGTATCGGGTCCTGTCGTGGATGGAGATCCGGACAAACTTCAGGGGCAGAAGCCTGGTGGGTAGGAGAAATGTGTGCTCGTGGATCAGGAGATCACAAAAGGCAACCCCCTCCCCTGTTACCGAGTTTCGGTTTGTGACTGTGCTATTATCCCTAGTGGATAACCCTCCCTGTTCCCCTGCGAGATTAATCCGGTGCTGTTGTTGATCTTAAAAGCCCTGCAGGGCCTGGTCTCAGCGGGCCTAGGAGATCATCTCTCCGCAACCCCATACATTTCATCATGACCTATAAGACTTCCCGCTCCTTACATTTCCATGTATGGGCCAACCAATGTCCACTAGAACAGAAGGTTCCCTCAGCAAATACCCCTAATTTGGTGTAGTGGTTAAATTTGGTGTCGTGGTTAAGTGCATGGACTCTAATCTGGGAGAACCGGGTTTGATTCCCCACTCTTCCACTCGCAGCTGCTGGATGACCTTGAGCAAGCCATAGTTCTGTCGGAGCTGTCCTTGAAAGAGCAGTTCTCTCAGAGCTCTCTCAGACCCGCCTACCTCACAGGGTGTCTGTTGTGGGGAGGGGAAGGGAGAGGAGTTTGTAAACTGCTCTGAGTGAAGGGTGGGGTATAAATTCAATCTCCTCTTCTAATTTCTAGCATACCCTCCCCACCCCCCCGGGAAACACCAAAGCCAGAGTTCCTTCTAGGAAACGCTTCAGTTGGGACTGTCACTTGAATAAAGAAATATTAGCTAATGAAACCTATCGATTTCAATTGATCAAATAATTTCATTTATAAATGGGCATCGGAAGAAGGTTTCTGGATGGTGCGAGTTATGTGGCTGTATTCAGGCATCATTAACAAACTTGAGCATGAAACTGGTTTATTATCAGGCTCAAACAGGCCCATGGGGACTCTGGTTTAGGGAGTCTTCTTTGATCTATCTCTGGTTTGTAGTGCTTTTCAAACACAGGCACTTCAACTAAGTAGAATTTGTTTCTTTCCAGGTAACCAACCAAGGCTCTTTCTGGCAACTGGATTCTAAACCAGCTTGCAATTTAGAGATCTATCCTGGTAACAGCTTTCTGTGGCCTAAACCCCCCTTTCTCCATACTTTTCCTTTCAAAAGCTCAGCTGCACTGTAAAGGGGGAAGGGTGTCTGTAGCAACTGGCCCCACAGCCTCCCCACATTTCCATCTTTCAACTGGACAGAAGAATGGCTGGGTTATTTTAATCTGGTTTAAAGGGGAAAACCCAGGGAAGTTCACAAGTTGTGCTTAGAAGTGGCATGCCATCAGGTGGGCATTCCTTCTAAACCTGCAGCTTTTCTGCTTTCTATGTGAGAAATATCCTTGTGTGTAAGCAGTTTATACTGTCACCAACTGCAACTATTGTGAACGGTCATAGTGCCTCTTTTGTATACATATGAGATGGGCATAGATATATGACTAGGGATGGGCATGAACTGGCTGACAAACTATAGTTTGTCACAAATTTTGACCAACTCCTGGTTTACAAAGGGATGTTTGCCAACTGAACTGCCATGAACTTCCATGAATTTTGATGCAGTTCGTGGTGGTTTGTTAAGAACCCCTGCTTTCTGCTCTTCAAGAAAAACAGCTGAGCTATTTGATTTAAATGTCTTGGAGCCATTTAAACCCCTGCTTTCTGCTCCCTGCAGTTGCAGGGGTTTAAAATGTAAATGGTCCATGAGCTGACACAAACTGGTTCGGTTCACAAACTGGCATATCATGGTTCACAAAAATGCAGTTCGGGTCCATCCCTAGATATGACAGAGCATACCTACTGAGTTTCTGGGCCTTTTCACTATATAGAACTGCCAACTGATAAATCCAGTTCCTCTATTTGTCCCTTGACTACCAATTTGATCTGCAAGAAATACCGGGTGATGTTATCGAACCCAATGCCATGAAAAGCTTCAAGTGGGCAGATGCTGCAGATTAAAGTCCTATTAAATGGACAAGAAATTTCTTCTCCACCTTGACCAGTTGGCTACCTTATGACTATACTGCGTACATTGAGATTCCCCCCCCCCTTTGCATCTGTCTGTGTGAAAGGCAACTGGGGGATAACCCGTTGTACATCTGACAACTGTTGTGGCTTTCGCACCTTTATGCCACAATAAAGTTGCTAGGCATTAACGTGTGACTATGTTGTTTTATTTTGCTGCTAACAGACTAGCAGTTATTCCCTCCCCTGCCCCAGAATTCACCAGTATCTATTTCAGAAATGTTTGTAAGATCCTCCTGACGTCTCCTTATTTTGCATTAGCGGGGACTGGTTTTCTGTATATACTTACTGGGGGGAAAAATGGGGGAATCTTTCCAAGCATGTGCAGAGGGGTCTTCCCCACCACTGAATCATCACAGCCAAGACCCATATGTCTAAGTTACATTTACAGGCAAGACTTGGGGTTGCCAACTCCAGATTGGGAAACTCATGGACTTTTGGGGGTGGAATCTGGAGAGGGTTGAGATATCAGTGGGGTATGATGTCACGGAGTCCACCCCCACAGAGTGGCCTTTGTTCCAGTGAAACTGATCTCTGTAGCCTGGAGATCAGTTGATATTGGGGGGGGGATCTCCAGGCCCTACCTGGAGGTTGGCAACCGCATGACAGAAAAGTGCCACTGTGCACAAAGGTGTTGGGGACTCACACCATAAGTTGTAGCTGTTCTCTAGGGACCAGCATGGGTTTGGGACGCTTGCATGTGCACTCCTCCAGCGGGTAGTCAACAGGCCGGGCCAGCAACATCAGATCAGGGAGCTCCAGGCTGCGGCTGCTGGCAGCGATCCCCACAGTGACCCTATTGGCCACCTCCCCTGATCTCGTGACCTGGAAAGAGAGAATCGTTTTGAAGGGCTTCCAATTTAGAGATCTATCCTGGTAACAGCTTTCTGTGGCCTAAACCCCCCTTTCTCCATACTTTTCCTTTCAAAAGCTCAGCTGCACTGTAAAGGGGAAAGGGTGACTGTAGCAACTGGCATTGTACCATATTGAAAGTGGAGCACTGCTCTACTCCACCCCCTAGTGGCTGCAGGATGGAACATCCAGATGGATATTCCACCCACAGCCTCCCCACATTTCCATATTTCAACTGGACAGAAGAATGGCTGGGTTATTTTAATCTGGTTTAAAGGGGAAAACCCAGGGAAGTACACAAGTTGTGCTTAGAAGTGGCATGCCATCAGGTGGGCATTCCTTCTAAACCTGCAGCTTTTCTGCTTTCTATGTGAGAAATATCCTTGTGTGTAAGCAGTTTATACTGTCACCAACTGCAACTATTGTGAACGGTCATAGTGCCTCTTTTGTATACATATGAGATGGGCATAGATATATGACTAGGGATGGGCATGAACTGGCTGACAAACTATAGTTTGTCACAAATTTTGACCAACTCCTGGTTTACAAAGGGATGTTTGCCAACTGAACTGCCATGAACTTCCATGAATTTTGAAAGCTGACACAAACTGGTTCGGTTCACAAATGGCATATCATGGTTCGGGTCCATCCTTAGATATGACAGAGTATACCTGCTGAGTTTCTGGAACTTTTCACTATATAGAGCTGCCAACTGGTAAATCCAGTTCCTCTATTTGTCCCTTGACTACCAATTTGATCTGCAGGAAATACCGGGTGATGTTATTGAACCCCATGCCATTAAAAGCTTCAAGTGGCCAGATGCTGCAGATTAAAATCCTATTAAATGGACAAGAAATTTCTTCTCCACCTTGACCAGTTGGCTACCTTATGACTATACTGCGTACATTGAGATTCCCCCCCCCCTTTGCATCTGTCTGTGTGAAAGGCAACTGGGGGATAACCCGTTGTACATCTGACAACTGTTGTGGCTTTCGCACCTTTATGCCACAATAAAGTTGCTAGGCATTAACGTGTGACTATGTTGTTTTATTTTGCTGCTAACAGACTAGCAGTTATTCCCTCCCCTGCCCCAGAATTCACCAGTATCTATTTCAGAAATGTTTGTAAGATCCTCCTGACGTCTCCTTATTTTGCATTAGTGGGGACTGGTTTTCTGTATATACGTACTGGGGGGAAAAATTGGGGAATCTTTCCAAGCATGTGCAGAGGGGTCTTCCCCACCACTGAATCATCACAGCCAAGACCCATATGTCTAAGTTACATTTACAGGCAAGACTTGGGGTTGCCAACTCCAGATTGGGAAACTCATGGACTTTTGGGGGTGGAATCTGGAGAGGGTTGAGATATCAGTGGGGTATGATGTCACGGAGTCCACCCCCACAGAGTGGCCTTTGTTCCAGTGAAACTGATCTCTGTAGCCTGGAGATCAGTTGATATTGGGGGGGGGATCTCCAGGCCCTACCTGGAGGTTGGCAACCGCATGACAGAAAAGTGCCACTGTGCACAAAGGTGTTGGGGACTCACACCATAAGTTGTAGCTGTTCTCTAGGGACCAGCATGGGTTTGGGACGCTTGCATGTGCACTCCTCCAGCGGGTAGTCAACAGGCCGGGCCAGCAACATCAGATCAGGCAGCTCCAGGCTGCGGCTGCTGGCAGCGATCCCCACAGTGACCCTATTGGCCACCTCCCCTGATCTCGTGACCTGGAAAGAGAGAATCGTTTTGAAGGGCTTCTTGGTGCGCATAGCAACAGTCACTGGGAAAACTCGACATCACAGGCTGGCTTCCCAAACATCTCATTCTGGAAATTCGCTTGGGCATTCTGCGAAATAAAAGCCAAGTGGCACTCTCCAAAACACAGAACGGAGTAATTCCAACCTCACCCCCAGTGCTGTTTCAGGTCAGGAACTGGGTGTATGTGGGAGGATAAAGTCCTTCTGCATGTATGCTGCATGCCTGAGCTGAACCGGGCAATGTTAGTGCGGGAACTGGGAACTCGCAGCTACCTGTTACAAGGCATGGGTCACCCAGATCCTGTGACTCCACCCTGTGTCATGAGATACAACTGCTCCATAACCCCAAAAGGGCTGTCGCTCACTGGTAGAACATCTGCTTGGCACGCAAAAGATCCCAGGTTCAATCCCAAGCATCTCTACTTAAAAAGGACCAGGAAGTGGGTGATGCAAAAGACCTCTATCTGGACACCTTTGAGATCCACTGCCAGTCTGAGTAGACCAGGGGTCCCCAACCTTTTCAAGCCTGTGCGGGACATCTGGAATTCTGACATGGCATGGCGGGTGCGGTGACAAAATGGCTGCTGAAGGAGGCAGAGCCAGCCACAAAACGATTGCCACAGCTTAACTTCAGTGACACAGTGTAGATCCTTGTGTCGCAGTGGCAGCTGCCGCCAAAAAGGTAAAGGTAAAGGTTCCCTTGCTCGAAAGCCAGTCGAATCTGACTCTAGGGTTGCGATGCTCATCTCCGTTTCAAAGCCGAAGAGCCAGCGCTGTCCGAAGACATTTCCGTGGTCATGTGGCCGGCATGACTAAACACCAAGGCGCACGGAAGGCTGTTACCTTCCCACTGTAGTGGTACCTATTTATCTACTTGCAATTTCTTGCTTTTGAACTGCTAGGTTGGCAGGAGCTGGAACTGGAGACGGGAGCTCACTCCGTCATGCGGCACACTCGGGTCTCGAACTGCTGAACTACCGACCTTCCACAGCCTGCAGTTCAGTGTCTTAACCACTTGAGCCACAGTGTAGATCCTTGTGTCGCAGTGGCAGCTGATGCCAAAGCAACGTTCTAAAAAAAATCTGCACAGCCAATCAAATATCCAAATAGTCAATCATATTCCTTGCTGGGCAAAAGCCCTACCTGGCCCCAACCACTTCCTCAAAATGCTTGGCAGGCGCCAGAAAAGGTGTCAGTGGACTTTGTGGCACCCATGGGGAACATGAGAGCCAGTTTGGTGTAGTGGCTAGGAGCGTGGACTCTAATCTGGGAGAACTGGGTTTGATTCCTCACTCCTCCACTTGCAGCTGCTGGATTACCTCGGGCAAGCCATAGTTCTGCCAGCACTGTCCTTGAAAGGGCACCTTCCTCACAGGGTGTCTGTTGTGGGGAGGGGAAGGGAAAGGAGTTTGTAAGCCGCTCTAAGACTCCGAGTGAAGGGCGGGGGATAAATCCAATCTCCTCCTCCTCATGTTGGGGACCAGTGTTCCCTCTAAGCTGAGTTAGTGTGAACTAGCTCACAGTTTTTTAGCCTCCCTCACAGATTTTTGTCTTAGCTCAGGAAGGATGGCTCCAGAGCAAACTGATTTATGCAGCAGCCAAATTGCTCGCTCACAACTTTAATGCCAGCAGCTCACAAAGTAGAATTTTTACTCACAAGACTCCACAACTTAGAGGGAACATTGTTGGGGACCCCTGGAATAGACAGTACTAACTTTGATGGGCCAAGGGTCTGATCCTTTACAAGGTAGCTTCATGTGTTAACCCAGCTGTGTTGGGTCAGCGAGACTTTTTTTGTTCAGCCCCACCAAGAAAGCTTTCCAACGCCTCAGAACTGATAATTTTTCACTTTTAGCTTTTTTAAAAATTAGGCCGCAATATTTTCTGTTCTGTCTTTATAATGTGAGGGTATGGATTTGGGAATGTCTTCGCCACTCATGTTTTGGGGCCTATGGTATATGGCGGGATACAGAATTTAAATAAATTACGGGGAACAAACCTGGATCAGGACAGAGAGAGGCTGTTAGGAAGGTGGTGGAGTCGAGTGAAGGACCAGCAGCCAGGGATGACAAGTTATCTCATACATTCCCCGCCACATCCCCATTCTCAAGTGATTGGCACAAGGACCCCAGTGAGCTTTGGGGCTGAATAGGGGTTTGAATGTAGGTTTCCCCACTCCTAATCCAGCCTCTCTGGCTGTCAGACTGAGTTTCTTCAAGAGAAGAATTGTGTCTGCACTTGTATGGAAAAAAAAATAATTTTAAATCAGGATTCCTGGGTTCTGGAGGTTAAGTGTCTGATCTAGTAACAATGGGGCCTGGCCTGAAACCTTTTAGCATCAGAGGCAGAAAACTGAAACGTTTCCAGCAAAAATAGTACCATTTTTGAGACAGCTTATCCACCTCCAATAGCTCTATAAACAGAGGCAGTAAACCATTGGGTTCCAGTGCTAGAAGGCAGTATGAGGGCCCGAGATCTTGGTTTGTTTAGCCCTTCAGGGCATCTAGTCGGCCATTGTGTGAAACAGGATGCTGGACTTGATGGACCACTGGTCTGATCCAGCAGGGCACTTTTTATGTCCTTGGTGGTGGAAAGTGCCTTCAAGTCGCAGCTGCCTTCTGGCAACCCCAAAGGTTTTTCAAGGCAAGAGACATTCAGAGGTAGTCTGCCATTGCCTGGCTCTGCAGAGCAACCTTGGACTTCCTTGGTGGTCTCCCATCCAAGTACTAACCAGAGCCGACCCTGCTTAGCTTCCGAGATCTGACAAGATCAGGCTAGCCTGGGCTTACGCTCTGACGATCCGTAAATCTGTTCTGCTGGAACGTGGCTGCTTCACTCAGCCTAATGGCTGGATCGTCGTCGTTTCAGGGCAAGGATTCATGAGCGCTGTTCCCAGCTCCCTTCCCCAGTGCCTCACCTGTACGAAATTGCTTTCATACAGGGGACAGTCCTTCAGCTCGTCGTATTCCCCACCGGCCAGGCATTTCTGCAGATCCCCCATTCCAAAAGTGGTCTATCTGGTAATGTCCTGGCTTCTGTAGCCCGGAACCTGGTGGAAGAACCAGAAGAGAAAAAAATGATGCCATGTTGAATTTGTTGTGGATTTCCATGCTGGCTTTGGAGCAGCTGGGAAAAGGTTAGTGTTCTCTGGCTGGTAAATAATGCAGGAATCTTTATTCTAGAATGAAATTTCTGCAGACTGGGCGGTCTTTATCTTCAAGCCGCCGCACTTGCAAAAAAAAAAAGTCAACATTATCCTGCCGGCTGCTTCGGTCCACAGTTTCGCGCCATACGGGATAACGCGAGACATTCTATTGCAAGTTTGCAACGAGCTCCGCGAGTCTTTTTTTTTTTTAAGCATAACTTTACCCAGAAGGGGCGGAGCCTACCACCCGGCTCGTGCCACTGCTGATTGGTTCTTTCTACGCTCCTCAGCCCCCCTCGTGGCCCGTATCCCATGCTGCATTGCGGCTGCCGGCTCCCTTGTCACGTGACCCCGCAAGAGGTACCATGGCGGCTGTCGGAGGATCCCTCCAGTTCTTTCTCCCCGTTTCGCTCTTGCTTCTAACGTCAGCGCCGTCGCCTCTCGTTCAGGCCGCCGGAGTCGGGAGCTGCCGGGGTGAGCCGGGCCTTAGGGTAAGTCGTGGGGTGGTTGCTCGATAGACATGAGCCGTGAGTGGGTCTCGATGGAACTGGCGGACCAATAATAACTCCGCTGCTGAACTCTTGTTAATATTAATTAGGGTTATGACTATTCATGAGCGGAGTGGCGATTTTAGGAATCGGATTGGCAAGGCCAGCAGCTTGCTGGCTTTTGCAGCTCAGGTGTCTGAGCAACGTGTGTAAAGAAGAGGGGAGACTGACGGGCAAATGCTATGCTCCGGTCAGTCACAATTTCGTCCTTCCTCCTCTGTCTTGCTCTGGCGTCACAACAGCCCTGTGAGGTGGGTTAGGCAACTGGTCTGTTCCAGCAGGTCTCTTGTTATGTACAGAGTTGCTTTGAGACTGGGTGGGGATTTGCCCTGGGTCTCACAGATCCTGGTCTGCCACTCTGACCCTCACACCATCCTAGCTGCTGTTTGTTCTGCATCACATGTATGGTAACCCCAAATCCTGTCCATGTTTCTATGAAAACACAAGAAAGACTCTGCTGGATCAGATCAGTGGTTCCTCTAACCACATAGAGCTGACAGACTGAGTCAGACCATCACTCTTTCAAATACTGTCTACTCTGACAGCTGCTCTCCAGTAGAGGTCTTTCCCTCTACTGATACTATCTGATCCCTTTAACTAAAGAAGCTGAGAACAGAACCTGGGACTGTCTACATGCAGAGCAGATGCTCTACCACTGTGCCACAGCCCCTAAGATCTTGTTTTCAGCAAAGGGCAACCAGATGGACCTAGAAGGTTCACAGCAGGAACATGGAGACCTAAACCATCTTCTGCCATCACCTTCTACTCACTGGTTCCTGGGGTGGCTAACATTACATTCAAAAATTAAAACTGTAGTAAAAATAATCAGATTGTCAGAAACAGTAAAATAGCAAGAAATAAAACAAAATGCAGACTGCATAAGCTGAACAATTCAGCAATATTTCCTAAAAGTAGCAAAGATTGTTACTTTTGGAAACACACAGCATCACAATATGAAGTGGGGTGGAGAAGGAAAAGGAAAAAGCAAGTCTCAAAACCTCAGGGAGAACAAATTCTGGCATCCAGAGACATACAGCTTCTGAATGTGGAGACCTTCTTCAGCCATTATGGCTGATGTCTATCCTCCATAAATTTGTCTACTTGCCTTTTGAACTTAGTAGCCCTCACCATATTCTGTGGCAGTGAGTTCCATAACTTTATTTGGAAGTCAACCCTCCTGAATTCTAGGGCACATGGTCAAGCATCCTGCACAATCCTATGTATATGTATACTCAGGAGCAAGGCCAGTTGAACTTAGTGGGTCGTACTTATGAGTAAATGTACATAGACTTGTTCTTCAGATGCTCAGAGTTCACATAGAAGTGAGCAAGCTGCTTCCAAGGGGCCCTTCTGATGTTGTAGGCCTTCAAATAATTTTTAAAAGGCTAACGTAGTTGTGTCATCCCAAAAGCACACTTGTACCTAGAGGTAGAGCACAAAACACAAATACAGGCTGTGTTGCTGTTACAGAATATAATTACATCAGTTGCTCATTTACTTGCTGATCTTTTGGTATATAGGCTGAATGATTGCTTTATTGGTACATAGATATGCAGTGATGTGGTCAGAAAAATTTCTAGTGCTGTATTTTTCCATGGAAAATTTTCTGCCCCACATCGCTGTTCATCTGTTGCTGTCAGTGCTGTCGTGCTGTGGATTAGATATGTTAGCTGGGCAAAATGTAGGATATGAAGCATGGACAAACCCAGGGTTTATACATAGCGTATTTTCCTACTTTTGATAACATTATTTCAAGTTTCCTAACATATTTAGATTATTTGTTTAAATTTGAATAGGAAAATTTTCTGATTCAGTTTTACCTGGAAAACCCATATCACTGTACTTATGAGTGTTGCATAGAAATCTGGTAGATGATTCCTTGCATTTCATGGGGTTTTGGTCGCTCTTGCAGGGTTTTTTTCTTCTGCATATAATGTGCCAGTCAAGAAAAAAACATTTTGCAGTATTTACTCAATCCAAGACTAGACTTTTCCCCCACAGGTGTTTGTTCTCCCCCACACACACACACACGGGTGTTGTCTTGCATTCGCATAACACTTGTGTCCTATAATAATTTTTTGTGTATGTATAACATTTTTAGAGGGCTGTCTTCCTTTTGAGTTATTGCAGTATCTGATGAAGAGACTTTAGTCCCCCAAACAGATGCCTTAATAAATCTCTCTGTAATGGTGCCACTAAATTTGTATAGTAAATCTGGACCTTCTCAGTTGATGCGCAAGGGCTAAGATACCTGGTGTTTCATGTCAGGTGCATGTTAGCACATCTGTGAGAGTCATTTCCTAAATAAAGCAGGCTGACTTTGAACAGAGCTTTGTTGCAGTTGTTTACTACTGGTTATGTCCTGTGCGCATTGTGAGAAAGTGTGCCTTGTGTTAAATAGGGCATACCTGGTAGGATTGGGGCAGTGGGAAGGTGAGGACTTGATCTGTCTCTTTCTTCTCAGACAGGCGAGTCTCGAGACTCTGAAACCTGCGGCTTGACTCTGCAGCTGGAGCACTCCTTTGAGCTGGGTGAGTGTGTGGCGTGCAGATGGCTGGTGGACTTGTGGGTGAAGAGAGCATGCACACCTAGCAATGAATCATGCTTATGCCTAACACGAACAACCTGTGTGTGATGTCCAAATGCAGTTGGAGTGTAACACATAAGGTTGGCACATCATTGGGGAAAGATTCCTGTTCAGATGCACTACTGTATTCAGGAAGGGGTGTGGGTTTGTGTGTGTAACAGCTATCATTTAGTAGAATACTTGTGGTGGGCCCTAAATCGCCTAAAGAAGTGTATTAAAAACACTCCCTTCCTTCCAGTGGGTTGGAGGCAACCAGCTTTTCTGCAGGCAAAAATGAAGGAAGAGGTCCCTTTCACTACCAAAAAAGACAGTGCTGGGAATCACAGGACCTGCATGTACAAAGGCCATGTGAGACAGACTTCTCAGGTGCAGTAAGGAGAATTGGGCTCGATCAAGTGAAAAAGCTGTCTGCAACCCACCCACTGTCTTGCTTGAATCCTCTCTAGAGTTTGCACTGGACCCTGCAGACTAGCCTTTGCTTTTGCCACACTGACTGTTGAACTGTGTAGGCAGCACCGGGTGACCTTTACAAGCATATGTTGGGGGGGGGGGCAGACTGGGGATGGAGCAATGTTGTGTTCTTTGGTTTATCTGGAGGAAAGGACATTTTTAGTGGAGATCGAGTGCGAGGCTGGGTACTGTGATTCCTGGGAGAATCCTTGGGCCTACAGCATGTAGGTAGGGGGCTGGGTTCGTCCTGCATGAGGAAGCCCAGGATCTGAGACTCTCTTGGTTTTCTGTTGTCTGCAGATGACAGCATCCAGTTTAAAAAGCGGGGGACTCTCCTGTGGAACATGACCCCCGACTCCAGCCTCTCCCTAAGCCAGAAGCAGTTAACTGAGGAGGAGCGCAATAAACTTAGGGTGAGTGTGCATCCCTGCAAGAAATGAGAGTTGGCTTGGCTTATGGATAGTGATGCAGGGCTGCCATGATATCCCAGCCTGGGGTTCTTGCTGTGAAACCTTGAAAGGAGAATGTGGACAGAGCTGCCTATTTACGGCAGGCTTGCCTTTGCAGTGCGGAATCTGTCTGGCAAAAAATTGGGCAAATGCCTCTCTCTCTCTCTCCCCCCCCCCCCCTTTGGTTTTTTTTAAAATCCATTTGATTTGAAACTCTGAATCATGGAAGTGGAATAAGTTATTCCCAATCAAGGTAATGTATTCTGATCTCCTGCTTTTCAGTTCAGATGGACCTGGATTTGGCTTTTTACATCTTATTGGGAGAGGGAGGAGAGCTGATAGATGTGGGGGTGAAAAGCAAAGAGTTTCCATACCTACTGTGCCTTTCCCCCCCCTCTACAAACTCCAGGAAGTAGCTACAGAAGGTGGACTCTATCGGGTGCGGATCCCACGACGGCCCCTAGGGAGCACAGAGGAGAGTGGAGTTGAATACGTCACCTCCTTTGTCCGGGCGGTGAGTGTCTTCTTCTTCTTCTTTTTTTTTTAGTACTTGCCCTAAATGGGCAAAGTTTATTAGTTTTTAAGAATTACACCAAACAAAACAAAAAAAAGAGCAATACCTTTTTAAAATATCTAGACATTGTCTTGCTCACAACATCTTTAGATACATAGTTCCTTTTTCCTTCTTGTTTAACTTCCACAACAAATATCATTAATCAAAATTCTATTCCCAATATATAGTTCATTTTTCTATATCCTATCTGCTATATTTCATTTTATCTATGCTACCCTATTATTAGTCAGTTTTATAATAATAAAAATAGAAAAGGAAAGAAACAGGTGGTTC